AAAAAAATAGAAAAGAAAGTAGCATCTTTACTTGAAGTCAAAAGAGCAACACACTGCACAAGTTTTGAGCAACTCCCATGATTTCACTTTTGGCCTGTTCACCAGGCTCTTCGAATCCCGAAGGGATTTTTGTTCATTAGAAAACACGTCAATGGGAATTTGCTGTAAGTTTTTTTTTTGGTTTTTCTCAATCTGTCCTTGGTTGCACCGCGTTGCTGTTGTTCACCGAGTCCTGATTTCTGTCTGTATCCCATAACGAAACATGGTCAAACAAAAACAGCATGTATACAAGGCTAAAGAAATCACCAGGGAGCAAAAAGGTCAATGTGTTACGTTGTAAGTGAAGTATGTATGGCCTTCAGCGTAGCTGTATTTCAGACTTTTATGAGTTAACACCTTGCCATTTTGAGAAACTGAATAGCAAGAGATCTTTTGGGGATTTGTAAGAAATCTAAAAACCAAACACCTCAGAGAAAAACAGAGGAGCAACTACCTTGTAACTTCTCCTTTTTGGACTTCTTGCATTTAAACAACATCACAATCCGATTTTTCTTTCTTTTTTTTTTGGAAACCTGATTACTTCTGTTTAATCTTCAAATAATTGATGATGCAAAGGTTAGTGGGTAGAGACGACTAATATCTCAGCTTCGGCTAAATTCAACTTGATCCTGATTTTTGTGCCCTCGTTCAGGCTACGGGTGTGGGAACAGACGCTGGCACGTTTCCCAGTTCGACTACTAGCAGGGGAAATTAAAGGCAGGAAAAAAAAAAAGAATGTGAGAGGTAATTAAAGACCAGGGAGCAGAGCTACAAGAAGGATGGTTTAAGGAAAAAAAAAAACCAGGCTTTTCACAAACAAGAAACTGGATATGAGCAAAACCTTGATCTGTGCATTTGTGTTCCAACTTAAAAGTACGCGATATCGAGAGTCAAATGATACATAGATTCTATATATTTTTTATTTACACGTATACTCTAGGTCATAATGGATGTCTGATAAAATTAATGGCAATTTTATGTCTGAAAATATAAGTAAAAAAGGAGAACTTTGAGAAGATTTTCTGAAGATTGTGTGAGTCAGTCTGTACAGAATCATACAAGTTACAGTATGTCAGTGACTTAATACATAGAACAAAAACAGTTAAAAGTCAGCTATGAAATGATTGAATCTTGTAGATCAGACTTTGAAAAACAATGCTAAGAAATTAATATAAACAAACAAAATAAAGCTTTAAAATAGCATTTTCTTATTGGAATAAGTTCTACCCAATGGATAGAGATTAAAGATTGATGACTGAAGGCAGTATTATGACATAAGACTCACTATTTTGTTCTTGAAGAGACTCTAAGATTACATAAGAATGTTAAAAATAATAATAATGCAAAAAAAAGAGCAAAATCATATTTTCATATGTTCTAGAACTGACAGTTTCATTCATACTACATGTTTGGATATACAGTATCTTCTGAGTCTGCATTTAAATATATATGCAAGTGTAAGTGTGCAGCATATTTATATATATATAAATAT